GCACAGGTGGCAGCACAGGTGGCAGCATAGGTGGTAGCACAGGTGGCAGCACAGGTGGCAGCATAGGTGGTAGCACAGGTATCATCACAGGTGGCAGCACAGGTGGCAGCACAGGTGGTAGCACAGGTATCATCACAGGTGGCAGCACAGGTGACAACACAAGACTGACACGTTGCGGTCACCTCCCTCCACGCCCGGGGGATAGCATTACCCGCACAGAACAGGTAACGAGCACGTACTTGTTGCACGGACACACGAAGATGCCGCAGCATTTCTCCATGCCCGTCAGGTTCTTCTCAGCCTCCCGCATATCCTGGTTGATCTGGTCCATGCCCTCCTCCACGCGATCCAATTGCTCTGCACGACAACTCAGCAATTAGTACATACAGTAGCAATTAGTACATACAGTAGGAATTAGTACATACAGTAGGAATTAGTACATACAGATGTAGTAATTAGGGAAAAAAACAACACTGGCTTAGTATTGATTTTTTCCCGCGCAAAACAACATCACTGAGCAGATTGACGTTAGTCACCGCCGTCATGTAAAAGTCGTCTAGCCAGTATCCAGGGTGTGCTGAATGCTCTATTAAGCTGTTAGTTCTGGAAAATGTTACAGTTGGCAACGGCTACACACATCATATCACGCTGTACGTACTCAGTCGCTGACGAATTCTGCACAGGGGCGCGTTTGTTTCGTAAATTTCGAAACATCGCCACTAGAGTAACACCAATCAATCACTGAAAGCGAATTCTAGCCAGACGAAAGCCTGGCGACGTGCTTAAATAATATACACGCTATAGAGAATAGACATCGCATGCAAGAGGGAGCGAGAGAGAGAATGTGCGTGCGCGTGGGAGAGACAATGTGTCCGTGTGTGTGAGAATGCGTGAGTGTGTGCGAGAGAGAGAGAGAGAAAGAGAGCGCGAGAATGCGTGAGTGTGCGAGAGAGAGAGAGAGAGAGAGAGAGAGAGAGAGAGAGAGAGAGAGAGAGAGAGAGAGAGAGAGAGTCACATGCATCACAGTCACTAAGCCCGCGCGTAGCGCGGGTTCCAGCTAGTCTATATAATAAATCTAAAACAACAAAACCAATCTACAGCACTTTGTAGGGTAAGCTGAGACGACAATTAAACCGCTGCTACACGTCAGAGAAACATCACGCCGTCTCATTCGGAAATTTACACGAATGAGAAAAATTTCGAATTCCGAATTTCCTTCCGATTGGGACCATGGGAAACTTCCCACCTCATCGGTCACACATATTCCTCAGTGAGTAGTAATTATAATACGCTCCATTCCAGAGTCCATTCCAGATTCCTCAGTGAGTAGTAAATACGCTGCAATGCAGAGTCACACGACCCGGCTGTCGCTTCCCGGGAAAACAAGACGACGTCTTCAACGCAGAAATTTTAATTAGCAAAATTAATAAGCGTCTTCTTCCATCTCCGGACTGCGCCTGCTGCAACCTCAACTATGCTTATAACGGTGGGGAAAGATATATGAAAGTTTCTAATAACGGGCTGCTGTCATGTGAGTATTTTAATAGCGTGGGCGCGCGGGTTACATAGCAGATGTAACGATCTCTGCTCGGTCACCGCTACGTGTCGCTCCGATAGGTGTATCATCTGCTGCAGAGATTCATAAATTTCAGCGCGCGCTCACGCCGTGATGACGCGGAGGTCGCGACCTCTAGCGGAGAGTTCCCCCTTCATGGACGCATGAGATAGCGCGGGCATGCATATTGCATGTGTTGTTCGCGCCTCTAGGGCCGTGGTTGTGAAAGAACTCGGCTTTTATATTGCCCCGTAAATTTCAAGTAAATGCTTCACCTCCCAACCGCATTACGCGCGAATTCCGGGCCAAATACCACGATACGTGACTGTACGGCGTACATTTAGTAGCGCATAATGGGTAAACTCAGAATAATGGATTCTTGATCCCGCTACTGAATTCTAAATTTGTGCTTAATACGGACATAAAATGCTATATCCTTAACTTCTAAGGACTGACGCGGACGCCTGCGACTCAGATTATCTAATGGGCACAGAAAGCGGTTTGCAGTTCTGGTGTATAATTTATTTAACTATTACATGGAATATATATGCTGTAAATATGTCAGCAGCAAATGTGTGAAAAGAACAATGTGTGAAATCGATTTCTCAATCGGAACGAGAGTACAGCGCGTACGTGCATACGTGCGTGACTGCATGTGTGTGCATGAGTGCGTGCGCGTGCGTATACGTTTGTGTGTGAGTGTGTGCGATTATGAGCATGTTCGATCATACACGCATATAATTATGTAGGCGTGTGTACACGCGTGCTTGTGTGCTCATGTGTGTGTATATATGTGCGCGTGTGTGCATGCGTACGTGGGTGCATACGCGCGCATTGACGTGGGTGTGTAAGCGAAAGAGAACGCGCTGTACAGAAAGAAAACATCACCGTGCTTAACTATAATAAGGACACGAGAATCGCGACACATTTCTAAACGTAACACGAAGGAACCCATGAGTAGGCAGACGGAGAAGTCAGTCAGATAAAGATCTAACAGAAGGAACAAACGCGAAGAAGCCGGCGAGATATAAGCGTCAGCACAGGTGGCAGCATAGGTGGTAGCACAGGTATCATCACAGGTGGCAGCACAGGTGTCAGCACAGGTGTCAGCACAGGTGGCAGCACAGGTGGCAGCACAGGTGGTAGCACAGGTATCATCACAGGTGGCAGCACAGGTGGCAGCACAGGTGGTAGCACAGATGGCAGCACAGGTGGTAGCACAGATGGCAGCACAGGTGGTAGCACAGGTGGCAGCACAGGTGGTAGCACAGGTGGCAGCACAGAGGCGTGTTCAGGAGACCGAACGCTCGGCCGAGCGCTCGCCTTCTGAACGACACTGCGCTCGGGAGCGCTCCGGCGCAGCGTTTGCGCGCAAGTTTGAAAAAGCTGTTCGTCAGCCGCGCGAGTTGTTTACAAGATGGCGACGAAAATCTGGCGAATGCGAATCTAACATTTCTGACGTCAATTTGCAATCTATTTCAACTTTATTTCACTTTTCATTCATTCATTTATTTCTAAATTCAATTTGTATCAATTTCGTCTGCTAAATTCGTTTAACAGTACTTGTTCTCTCGCGATTTAAAATCTGCTGAGTAACCCTCCATGGGGCCGCCATCTTTGATCAAGCGAGCGCACAGCGAGCGCTCGGTGTATCGTTCAGGAGGCGCTGCGTTGCATTCATCGAGCGTTCGCATCGAGCGCTCGCTCTCCTGAACACGCCTCAGGTACATCACAGGTGCAGCACAGGTGACAAGCACACAGACTGACATGTTGCGGTCACCTCCGCTCCAGCC